CCAACCTCCAGGCCCAGTGCTCTGACTTTGCCGAACCGGGGCGCTCTGCAGAGACATCTTCACTCCTTCCTGGGGGTCCCGGACACCTAGGCCGGCGTTGGGGGGAACCTCCGCTTGCGGGTGACAGGGAGGGAGGAGCCTGGAGCCGGAGCCCGCGACACCCGTCGCCCGGATCAACAGGACAGGACAGGTTGAGGGGCGTCGGGGAAAGGAAGGGGCGCTAAAGCAATCCCAGGGAGGACGAGGAAGCCCTGTCGTAGGAAGCTCTGATGCGCTATGACTTATTAAGGCCTGTTGACGTTTGAGGAGTGTTGACAACGTGGGTGCTCTCCACTCTTGGGGGCCTTGTTAGATTGGAGGGTGTGGGATCTAAGTAGTGCCAGTTGTCCCTCGGGAAATTTAAGGGGCAACCAGAAAACAAACAAAAACGACAGATGCTCCTTGTTTCGGGGTGACAGAGGGTCCTCCAGACAACCACCTGGTGTATGCACTAGGAAGGAAGGGCTGATTTGGAGGTGACTTCAAAAGGAGTGGAGGGTAACAAAGTAAGGAAATGGTCTCAGCAGCTGAAACCCTATGGTACTAGAACCCCAGGTACTGGAACCCTGTGAGAAAAAGCATTATCCAGCCAGAGGATCTGGGAACCCCTTCTCACTGAACCTTCTCACTGCATATTAAGACATATTTGGGGGGGATTTTTGAAGAAAGTGGGAGAGCCACTCCATTTAGAATATAGCAAAGGAAAAAAAAAAAAAAAACATCAGGACTGGGTTCCTCTCTGACATTGACAGCAGCCCAGGGTGAGCTAATGTCCCCAAAGATAAAGACCCGCACCCTTCAGATGAGAAGAGTAGGCTGGGCAGGAGAGGCCCCAAAATAGGGTGGAAAGAAGTCTGAGGATATTGAGAACGCATCTTGGGCATTTCGGAGGGTCTTGACTTTGGGACACAGGAAGTGGGGACAGAGGCCAGAGAGGAGGGGAGGGGAGAGCTTTCATTAGGGGACAAAATTCATGGGTGAGGTCAGCTAAAGAGTGCATAGGCAGC